TCCCGGGGTCCTGGGATCGAGCCCCACATTGGGCTCCCTGCTCAGCAGGAAGCCTGCTTCTCCCTCTCCCACTCTCCCTGCTTGTGTTCCTGCTCTCGCTGTGTCTCTCTCTGTCAAATAAATAAATAAAATCTTAAAAAAAAAAGAAGAAGAGATAAAAGCTAAAAAAAGAGAGAAAGAAAGGGGGTGGTATATAGGGAAATAAACAAAATGCTCATATCTGAGGACAACATTTATTGGTTTCCTCCTGCCTGATAACACCCGCAGGAGGTGCCAACCATCTGCTCAGGAATTAGGAATCCCCCAAAGAGAAGCCTGTGACCAGACTGGGAAGACCTAACGCACCTGCTTCCTGTAGTCACTGAAAACCCATGGTCATCCGTGCATCCAGAGGCCATCATTCAATGAAAAGTCACTAGGGCCACTGGTGTCCAGACCAGAGCTTGTGCCTTAGCCCCCACCTCCAAGGAGCTGGCCCTTTTATATGGGAGACAGACACATATACAATTACTGCAGTGTGGTTTGACTGAGACCTCTGGCAGCATGAATGTGGGAGTTTGTGTCTAGGTCTTGGGGGGGGAACCTGCCAGAAATGACTTACTCCCCAGGTGGACACTTGAAGTCTTTTTTTTTTAAGATTTATTTATTTATTTATATGAGCGAGAGAGAGAGAGAGCACAAGCAGCTGCAGAGGCAGAGGCAGAGCGAGAAGCAGGCTTCCACCGAGCAGGGAGCCCGATGCGGGGCTCCATCCCAGGACCCCGGGATCATGACCCGAGCCGAAGGCAGACGCGTAACGACTGAGCCCCCCAGGCGCCCCTTAAAGTCGGTTCTGAAGGCTGAGTAGAAGTGGAGGGGACAGTCTGCCAAGCACAGAGGCCACTCCCTATAGCAATGTTTCAGCAAGTGCACATGGAGCAGAGGCGACGGGCTGGAGGCTGGACAGCTGAGTCACTGTTGAAAGGCTTAGAGGAGGTCAGGGTTTCTGAGCTGGGATTTGAAGAGGAGATTGCCACGGGTGTGTGAAAACGATTACACACAGATGGAGGGAGTGTCTGGTACAAAAGCACAGAGGTCAAGAACGAGCAAATCCCAAGGCGAGGGCTGGTAAACACCTGGAGCCCATGAGTCTGCACAGGTGGGGTTGTGCAAGGTGTTTGCTTCTCACCTGGGCCTGCGTGCAAGCACGTCAGGCTTCAGCCTGTAGCCCCACGGTCAGGGGCAACCCAGGAAAACAGCGTGACTTTACATTATTTATAACCGAGGGAATTTCGTGGAGAGATTTGGCTGGACAGGTGATGGGACCCAGAGGTCAGCTGGAGCAGGAAGCTGTTGCCACTTCTTGCTGGAGGGTCAGAGGTCAGGGCTCACCTGCTGGAAGCTGAAACCACACTAGACCCGAAGCTGGAGCCACAGAAGAGATGCAGCCACCGCCGGAGACTGGAGTTGCTACCCAAGGCTGAGAGAGAGAGGAGGGGAGAAATACCCGCTGTGTCCCTTCTCCCCACTCTCCAGTCCCCTAACAGCCTCTTACTAGCCAAACCCGGCCGGAAAGGCACTGACTCAGGAGCCTCGAGAGTACAGCCAGGATCCGCATCTGTACTTTGGGACACGACCCAGGCAGGGAAGGGCGAGAACAGGTCTGAGGTCACACAGGCCTGTGCACAAGAAGCCTTCTTGGGGTCTCCCCAGGAATGGTTTTTCGTCCTGCCCATAAATTGCGCAATCCTTTTGGTACTAGTACCAGCAAAACCCAGTTCAACCCCCCAGTATCACCCTTTATCCAGCTGCTCGGGCCAAAAACTCTGGAGTCACCCCCACTTCCACTTCTTCACTTTTGTCTTTCTCTTATCCAGCCCATGAGGAAATTCACCCCCTTCTCTCCTTGTTCCCTGACCCAGTTTTGACTTACACCACCAATCATGAGAAGACAAGTATACTCCACGTTCATTCATGTGTACACGGTCTGTCTCCTCCTTCAAGGTGCAGTCCCAAAGTCTGGCACACAGTAGGTGCTCATTAAGGGAATTCACCTGTTGCCTCATTCCCTCACTGTATTCACTTGGATGAGTCACTCCACTGGCTAGTTGGCAGGCAGGCTGGAGTTCAGCCGTCCCGCACAGCCTCACATGTCTGACAGTAGGCCAGCCATGCCAGGGGCAAAGGGGCTATCTGGGCCTCCTCCAACAGGCTGACCTAGGTGGTCACAGGGGCTCAAGAGCAGTGAGAGGGCTAAGCTTCCAAAGCTCAAATACTTTCAGGTTTCTCCTTATGTCATGTTTGCTACTGTCCTATTAATCAAAGCAAATCATATGGCTGTGCCCAGAGTCTTTGTGAGAGGGTACTACCAGACGACATGAGCACGGGGGGGCACGGACAACTTGGGGACCACCATTCCTACAATCTCTCTCAACAGGAGAATATGGTAAATTTCAGAACAGAGTGAACAGCTAATGTGCAGTGAGTGGGAGGTGGCAGGGTGGAGAAATGACTTCTGACCCAGGGTTGTGGAAAAGCAGTGGACTCTGAGTCAGCTTTTATAGGATAGATGGATTTGGATGGATGACGTAGAGGGTGAGGATATTTCAGATGATATGGCATCAAAGTGCTTAGAGAGAAAAAGTATATTTAGCAGTAATAGTCATTTTCTGGGCTTTTCTATGTACGAGGCTCTGAGCTACTTTTTAAAAAATTATTATTATTATTATTTCTTAAAGATTTTATTTATTTGAGAGAGAGAGAGACAGAGATAGTGACAGAGAGCATGAGTGGGAGGCAGGGTGAGGGAGACGGAGAAGCAGACTCCCCCTTGAGCAGGGAGCCCGATGTGGGGCTCGATCCCAGGACTCTGGGATCATGACCAGAGCTGAAGGCAGATGCTTAACCAGTTGAGCCACCCACGCGCCCCTTATTATTATTTTTTAAAGATTTTATTTATCTACTTATTTGAGAGAGAGAGAGTGAGCAGGTGGGGGTGGGTGGGAAGGAGTAGGGGGAGAGGGACAAGCGGTCTCTCATGCTGAGCATGGAGTCCAACTCGGGGCTCGATCCCATGACCCTGAGATCATGACCTCAGCCGACACCAAGAGTCAGATGCTCAACCGACTGAGCCACCCAGGAGCCCCATGAGCTAAATACTTTTAAAGCATTATCTCATTTAATTGTCATCATCATCCAGAAAGCTAGGATCTATCTTTACCCCAATTTTATAGAAAAGGAAAACAAGGCCTAGAGAAAGATTTTTTAGATCACCAAAAGCACAATCCATAAAAGAATAAATCAATAAATTTAATAAATTGGACTTAATAAAATTCATAATTAACACAAAGGAGAATGAAAACAGTTGGAACAGACTGGGAGAAAAAATCTTTGCAAAGTATGTATCTGATAAAGGAGTTATATCCAAAATACATAAAGAACTCTTAAATAATAAGAAAATACTCAATAATAAAACAACACCCCCTCCCCCAAAAGGCCAAAGCTTATTTATTTATTTATCTATCTATCTATTTATTTATTTATTTGTTTATTTAAAGATTTTATCCGGCGCCTGGGTGGCTCAGTCGTTAAGCGCCTGCCTTTGGCTCAGGTCATGATCTCAGGGTCCTGGGATCGAGCCCGGCATCGGGCTCCCTGCTCCTCGGGGAGCCTGCTTCTCCCTCCCCCATTCCCCCTGCTTGTGTTCCCTCTCTCACCGTGTTTCTCTCTGTTAAATAAATAAATAAATAAAAATCTCT